AACTGCGGGCCAATCAGGCAGAGAACAAGTCACCCAGTGGCAAACACTATCAGTCAAGTTTAGTGACCGGTCAGACGACGGTCAAGAATGATTACTCATGGTGCGTCCTTTCGGGAGGTTTCATGTCGCACTGGACAACACACTACTTTGATGAAAATGAAAAACACTTTCATCGAGCAGTTTGGAAGTTCTTCAGCATTTTCAAACTGCTCATTATCATTCGAATTGTGCGCATTCTCTTGCTGTTTGGGACGCCCAACTATGAACAGCTTCGCGAGCACGTCTACTTGGGCACTTTTGCCCGATACATGGGAGGACCACTTCATTTCACCGAGTTGATCGCATTTTTCTGGTCATTTTCTGAAGCTATGATGTACCAGTTTTGCATCAATCCACCACGGCACAAGTTTGCCGACTGGATTCAAATATTCCTTTTTCTCAATCAAATCAACATTCCAAGTATTGTATTATTTTGTTAAATTACTTTAATATATTTATCTGTTTATTTGCCAGATTTGCCGACATCAATTGATGCAGATTCAGTTGGGCTTGATTTGAAAAGCATTAACAAGCTGAAAAGGGCAGCCAAGATTTCATTTACCATGTCCTCGCAGTACATTTCTCAAATTATATCAGGTTTTCCCGTCATTATTACTTTGCTTTTCTATTTCAACTTTTCTTTTGAGGACTTTCTCTACTTTGGCATTCCTTGGGCTCTAGTGTGGACTTTGTGGACTTATTGCGGATGCATGGTCGTTTACTGGCTGCCTTCCTATTATTTTGTCTACTGCTATTACCTCAAATTGAGAATTAAAACAATCAATGACGAGTTGAAGAAAACTTTAGCTAGCACAAACGTTGCAGTACCAATTCATCTTCAGTCATCAGCTAAGCCGAGTTTCGTTTTGGCAAGGTTAGACCCCTACCAATGTTCAATTAAGGACAACTTTACAAAAACACATTTAATTGCTAGAAACGACGTTTACATTTGCCAATCGCTGATTCGGCACAACCAAATTTGCAGAGAAATCTTTCGAACCAACTGCTACTGGACTCGCTACCTGAGCTTGATATTCTTTCTCTACACACTAATAATTTGCATTCTTCTTTTCTTTCTCATGTTTGCCACTATGCCCTGGTACAGTTACTTTCAGTATGCAGTGGTCATACTCTCTGGCCATGTCATACTCCTGGTGATTGTCATTTTCTCTGCCAAGATTGTGTGGAGTGAAGGTCGACAGACTTATAGGATATTGAGTGTTGCAATTCTAGTTCAGTTTCCGGTTTATACCAAGCTAAAGGTTTCGTTTTAAATTGCTCCAGAAAAATCACTGAAACATTTTCTTTTACAGATAATGACGTACCTTGAGCGACTTAAAGTGAACCGACAAGGCTTCTTTCTGGTCACCGGACAGCTGATATCTGCAGTCACTTTTCAAGAAGTAATATTCCCTTTTGAAAACAAATAAAGGACATTTATTTCAGCTTTCTATTGTGGTTATAATTTCAGGTTCTTGAAAACATTATGAAATACTTTCTGCTTGTAATACAGAACAGCAAATGAGCGAGAAAAGGGTAATTCAAAGTAAGCAATGTACAAGTTTCACTTTGTAAGTGTTTCTACAGCTGCGAGATAAATATTATACTGTTTAAAGTTTCAATAAAACTCAAACTTGTTTCAAACAGTGTTAGAATTATGCGGTTATTGAGTACAGTCCATTAAACTGACAGTTACTTTCTATCAGAGTTAGTCTACTTCTTCAATCTTCGGACCGTCACTGCCTGCTTTCGCACCCGCTCCTCCTTGTCCACCAGGTGCCCCGGCTCCACCCTGGTACAGCTTGGACATGATCGGTCTGCACAAGTTCTCCAGTTCTTTGTATCGGTGGTTGAACTCCTCCTTCTCCGCCAGCTGATTGTCGTCCAGCCATTTGAGAACTTCGCGCACCTTGTCAAGTACTTTGTTGCGATCTGCATCAGTAATTTTAGACTTCAGCGCTTCATCCTCAACCGTGCTTTTGATGCTGTACGCATATGACTCCAGTTGGTTCTTGGCAGCGATTCTCTCTCGCTGTTTGTCGTCATCATCTTTGAATTGCTCGGCGTCGCGCACCATCTTCTCAATTTCCGCTTTAGACAGTCGGCCTTTGTCATTGGTGATGGTGATTTTGTTCTGCTTTCCAGTGCTCTTGTCTTGTGCCGAAACATGCAAGATACCATTTGCATCGATGTCAAAAGTGACTTCGATCTGGGGAACGCCGCGCGGCGCCGGTGGAATGCCGGAGAGCTCAAAATGACCGAGGAGATTATTGTCCTTTGTCATGGCACGCTCGCCCTCGTACACTTGAATGGTCACACCTGGCTGGTTGTCAGAGTAGGTGGTGAAAATCTGCGTTTGCTTTGTGGGGATGGTGGTATTGCGCTTGATGAGAGTGGTCATGACGCCTCCTGCAGTTTCTATTCCCTGCGATAAGGGCGTGACATCCAAAAGGAGAAGGTCCTGGACAGCCTCAGACTTGTCGCCGGCTAGAATGGCGCCCTGAACGGCAGCACCGTACGCAACTGCTTCATCAGGATTGATGGACTTGTTGAGCTCCTTGCCGTTGAAGTAGTCTTGCAGCAGCTTTTGAATTTTGGGAATTCGAGTAGAGCCGCCGACAAGGACGATCTCATCAATTCGACCCTTGTCAAGTTTTGCGTCACGCAGAGCCTTCTCCACTGGTTCTATGGTTGATCTAAACAGGTCAGCGCAGAGTTCTTCAAATCGAGCTCGAGTGATGGAGGAGTAAAAATCTTGGCCGTCAAAAAGGGAGTCAATTTCAATAGAGGCCTGTGTGGAGGAGGACAGAGTCCGTTTGGCCCGTTCGCAGGCAGTTTGAAGTCGTCGAATGGCGCGCTTGTTCTGTGTCAAGTCCTTTTTGTACTTTCGCTGAAACTCCTGCACAAAGTGGTTCACCATGCGGTTGTCGAAATCCTCCCCGCCCAGGTGGGTGTCACCAGCGGTGGCTTTCACCTCAAAGATGCCGCCATCAATGACGAGAATGGACACGTCAAAGGTGCCACCGCCGAGGTCAAAGATGAGAATGTTTTGCTCACGTTTGTCGGCCTTCTTGTCCAGACCATAGGCGATGGCCGCTGCAGTGGGCTCGTTGATGATGCGCAGCACATTGAGGCCGGC